ATGCATCGCACATGCATACTATCACGCGAAACCCTCACCACACACACACTGAGTGGGGACACTCAGAATTTAAGTCCCTGGGAGATGTAGAGAATTATGCCTCTCATGGCGTGATATGGTGCTTTACACTAGGAAGTACATAGCACGAACTTGTAGCGTCACTCTGTGCACTACCCACAGCTATCTCTATATGACGCGCAGCTTTCCCGCGCAATGCGCGCCATGCGCGCACCATTCCCGCGCTTTGCGATGTATATGCGCGCGCGCGTTCCCGCGCTTGCGCGCCCTATGGCGCCAGCCATCCAGAAGCATCCATCCACTGTCCACCAAGCTCCCTAGTGCGTATATTTCCATTTCCTTTATTAGCATAGTTCCACCTTTATTTTTATCATGCATTCTCACTCATATATATATTTACATACCTACTCGGTAGCGCTTCGGCTCCGCTTGACCGCGCTTAGGCGCGCTATATAAGCGCCAGCAGTACATACTATTACTTACCTTACTTTTCCTACTTTTCACTTACTAGTTACTACCCACTTACTACTTAGCAGAATATAGTAGAAAGCTATTCCTTTACATTTTGCACTCTTATATCTCTTATCTTGCTTTATATCACTACTTAAGCTTAGTTTCTCATTTCCGCATACGCGCGCGCACTTTCCCGCGCTTCGCGCTAATACGCGCGCGCGTTCCCGCGCCTTTGTACCTTGCGCGCTCCTGCGCTTTCTCGCGCTTCGCTTAAGCGCACACTTCTAGATCCTTGCTGCACTCACTTCCCCTATAGGGTCGAACGCACTTGCTTCTCAAGTAACGCAGACTAGGCAGCGCGCGACCTTACAACTTTTACAGATACAGTCAGGAGCTTCTTTTGTTCCTCATTGTATTGTTGTTTCTACAGCGCATTGAACTCCTTGATTTCAAGATCACTGGCGGCCTATCAGTGCCTAGATTCAATATTTTCGCCACCAGTCCCACTAACGACGTGAAAACATGGATGGAGTTGAGGGGTTTCCTGCACCTTCTAGAATACCCAACCAGCCTTGAAGGCTGCAGTACAGTGGCAGCACTCTACCCATGCCAGATCTGCCACTCCCTCATGCGTCCGCGGGGCTTGTGCCCCTTCCCTCACATCCTGAAATGAAATGGGCCGAGACTCAACAATAGAGCTGCAGCGGGTGCACCCTGCTAAATGGGAAGATCCAGGGGAGGCAGGTCCAGATGTCACACCTAATATTGCCATACACAAACCTTCTACACAGTACATATAGCCTTGTAACAGACCCTCTTGCACGAGTTGTACACACCCAATGCCCCCTCAGTCACCATACACTTAGCCATCACCGACATACATGTACTACATCATACTACCCACTACCATGAATATACACCTGTTGCTACCCCAAAACACGCTGGAACTCATCCCTGCCTCAATGATCATAATATAAGCCCAGAACTTATTACAAACGAGAGTCGTTGATAAAGCAACAATGGTTTATTGAGACCTAAACCGTCCACCCTTGACTCCCTGCCCAAATATACTAGTCATGTCAAAATGGGACAGGAAAGCAGGAGTCGTCTCACAACTGCATTGTGCATGCCAGATCATGGAAATCTATTCAGGTTTGGACGAGCCGTGCTGAGAGGCTTGAGTTTTCACTAAGTAGCAGATATTGATGTTCAGGGCAATAACATTCATCAAAAGTGCTAACATGGTCCAACTGACAATCAGCCAAGATATGCTGGTTCTAAGCTACATAAATAACTGTAAAGTAGCTTAGTACTACAGTTACCTCAACCTTATATTGTTCCCTTCTAATATGGTCTTTGTTTCAGTCTTGGCTCTCACCCTCCTGGACACAGAGGAGGGCAGCTTCATACCACTGGGAGGCCCTCCAATGATGGTCCATGGGGATCAGGAAGTGGTCATGCCTTACCCAGGCAAGAACCAATGCACACTCATGATACAATCTGGAACACACCACCACGCCAACAACCAAACACTGTGCAAGGAAATGAACTCCGGAGGCCAGAATATCGAACCATCCTACTGAGACCAACATCAACCCAGCCATATATAGCAAACAACAATAACAAAAACATACCCCACACATGAAGCCCAAACAAACTTCAAAGACCCCTCACCACACACCCAGAACATAGGAACAGAAACAACCTACACAGACAAGCACTCACTCAGCCGCACACTGGGAACAGAAGCAACACGAACGCACCAATCAATCGAGTCCCACACACCCTACACTCTCCCCCTGCCGCCAAACCAGAATGCCAAAATGGCCAATCAACCCCTGCCACCCCCAAATAATATCCACCCATCCGCACCTCAAACAACGCCCCCTGTGCCTACAGCTACAGGAACCATCAGCGATGAAAAAAGAACAAGGGTGAACCTTAAACTAGCATCCCTAAATGTTAAAGGATGGTCCTCACTTGACCTCAGCCCAAGTCCAATATCTAAATGGTCAGCTATCAATAAAATGATGAGGGATCAAAAGATAGGAATACTTTGTATTCAAGAGACTCACCTGAGTCCTGAACACCAAACCCAAATAGAGAACCTATACATGTGCAGACTGACTGTACTGAACTTGAGTGACCCAACATGCCCTGGCAGCTCGGCAGGCATTGCATTTGTACTAAACAATGAAATTACAAACTCCACCAGTGCCAAAATGCAAGTACTGATCCCAGGATGAGCTACGTCACTCTCCATTAAGTGGTATGATAACAAAATAATAAATATATTAAACATATACGCACCAAATAACCAAAATGAACATAAGAATTTCTGGGAAAAAATAAATACTGAATGGTCAAGATAAAACCTTGGAATGCTGGACTTCATGATGGGTGATTTTAATATCACGGAAGATCTGATCAATCGTGCCCTGGCAAGGCTGGACAACAAAGCTGCAATTGACGCCCTTCAAGATCTAAGAACCACACTAAATATACAGGACACATGGAGGATCACTCACCCAAACAGAAGGCTCTTTACTTTCAGCAATAACCATCAGTCACTATCAAGACTTGACAGAATCTACACATCAGTAAACCACACTGATAGTCTACTTGACTGGGACTCACTAATAAGCCAAGTCCCCACTGACCACCAAATAGTAATAGTAAGATTTGCCCCACCCAACCTGCCCCACACAGGAAAAGGATGCTGGTCCTGGCCAGTGGGACTGATAACAGATGCTGCCCTCATAAAATGCACCATCGAGCTAGGCATGAGGATGCAAAACACATTAGACTCCCCAACACCACACTCAGAGGAAGAAAACCCACAGAAAACCTGGCTCTCATTCAAAACCAGCATAAATAAAATTGCAAAGGATGTTGCAAACACTCACCTATGCAAAATAAATCAAAGAATATGGACCCTCATGAAAGACCTGCACAAACTGGCAAATACACCCGAGATAGACTCATTGGAAAACATGAGACTGAACGAAATACTAATAGAAAAGGAGATTAGCCATCTACAATGAAAGAAATCCAAAGAAAAGCCTCACTCAATGCACAAGCACAATGGGCCACTCATGAAGAAACCATAAGCAAGTATTGGTCATGAGTGAACAGTCAAAAAACCCCAAGGGACATTATACATAGACTAAAGATCCCGGGAACCAACAGATATACAAATAAGTCAGAAGAAATGGCTGAGATCGCAAAGACATACCATGAGAATATACAGACAACCATAGACCAAGAAGATGAAAACAATAACGCTGCAGTGAGACAATGGTCCCTGGCAGAGGTGCCAGAAGAACAAAAACTTGCGATACCGACTGAATGCATGACTGAAGTACTGCATGAGGAGCATGTCCTGGAGGCCCTCATGTCCTCAAAATCCAGAAGCGCAGCCAGTATCGACAGAATACCATACAATGTATGGAAGACCCTACAACAAAAGCATAGAGAAGCAATAAAAGATGAGAAACCAAGCTTCAACATAATAAGAACACTAACCCATGTATTAAATGGCATACAAGTCCATGGTGTGACCGAAAACTCCTCATTCACAGTCAGCTGGATGTGCCCACTGTAGAAGAAAAAAGAACACTACAAAATAGAAAATTACCACCCAATCACACTATTAAACACTGATTATAAGATACTCACAAAGGCCCTCACTATCCAAGCTACACAAGTCATCCACAAATTAATCCACCCCAACCAAAGTGGCTTCATCCTGAGGCATTCAATATTTAACCTGATAGACCTGGCCCAGACAATGACCGCCTATGCAGACCTAATGGAAGAAGATGGTGCAATTATAGCGCTGGATCAGGAAAAAGCATACAATAGGATCCAATATACGTACCTATTCGAAACCCTAGAAACCTTCAGACTACCACAAATGTTTATAAACACAATTAAAAACCTCTACAAGTCAGCACACACACCATGTCTATTGTTCGACCTAGCAATAGAACCATTAGCATGTATGATATGAAACTTGACAAAAATAAAAGGTTAGGTCCTATTTGGCCAACAAATCTTCAATTGAAATTCACATTCACATTCAATCATGTGACCTTATGTTTGAATCTTGGCAGAATCCCGGATTGTGCCACCGCTCGTTGTTGTTTACTCCCACTATCATGCTATGATCTAACTCATCTAGTACAGGATCAGGGCACTCCCTTCAGTCTAAAGGACCTGTTGAAGCCAGTAACTCTGCCACCACACGTCACAAACAAGCTGCCAAGTGGACTACAGATGAAGACACAGCTCTGATTGAATACCTTCACCTCCACATTCCCGGTGATGGGACAAACTTCAAGAAGCAAACTTGGCATGGTGCTGCTGCTCATCTCAAAGAGAGGTTTCCTGAGCAACTGGGTAGTGAGAAAACACAATCAAGCTGTCAAACGAGGTGGACAAAAGTGAGTCACTGTGGCACATGTGCTGCATGCCATCTGCCTGGCATGCGGCACTGTTTCTTTTCTATATTGATCTGACAACAATTATCATAGCTCAAAAGTTCTTATCATGCTGTTGTGGACATTAAGAATGCATCTGGGTTTGTGTGGAGTGATATAGATGTAGTGTTGCCACGGCTCCGGCTTGTTGCTGGGTTTAGCCGTGGCTAGAGCTGTCGATAGCTGAGCCAAACAATGAGTTATGGATTACGTAATTTACAGCCCGGCCTGGTTGAAGTAGCTGCAGCTGCGGCTTGGATCCAGTTCAAAGCCAACTATTAATATAATATATTTAAAACTAAAACTAAAAATACATTAAGATCAAGTGCCAAAAATGGAAGCTGTAGCTTTAGCCTTCGAGTTGATCGTCCAAATTGCAACGAAAATCTAAACATACATTTGAAGCAATGGGCCATATGCGCTGCCCTGACGTTGTGTCTTTGGTGAAAAAATGGTGCACCTCCGATGCTACCTGTTTTGTTCGACGTCCCGTGGCTAACGGATTGGATCGAGTCGAATCGGTACCTGCCTGTGTTTGAAGTGGGCTTGGGACTGTGCGGACTGCTTCTACCGGGGTGAGCAGGTTGCCGTCCTCTTCTTCATTGACATCGTCAACAACGTCAAGATCGATGAACTCGCCATCGTCCACCGCGCGGCTTGGACCAGCCCTGTGAGCTGTACTGCCTTGAAGCCTTGTGGCGGGCCGTCGATTTCTGCGAGGATTCTGAAGAGTTGCAGTCACTGCAACATGGGGAGCTGCAGTGGGGGTGGATGCAGTGGGGGGAGCTGCAGGGTGGGTGGGTGCAGCGGGGGGAGCTGCAGGGAGGGTGGGTGCAGTGGGGGGAGCTGCAGCAACAGGGGATAAAGTCTGGGGTGTGTTTATGGGGGGAGCTACAGTGGCAGGGGATGGAGTCTGGGGTGTGTTGAGAGCACGTCGTCGAGGTGGCATGGTTGTAAATGTTGCGAATCCAGTGAGCGAATTACTGTTCTATATAAATAGTTGTTCTGTGAGTCCCAGAAAATGCAGCAGCGAAGTACTGACTCACCTGATTGTAAAGGCCAAAGAATGGTCCACATACATGTAATCGTCTCTCGAGTCTCAACAATCATAGGGTATGTCAACTGCCGTAGATTAGCGAAGTGAGATGCGGCTAGAGCCTCAAGGCTCATGGGGTCCTGGGCATCAAACAACCCCAAAATGTTGCCTAACATGCGGTGCCCTGGATATGCGCCTGGAAAGCTATTCCAAAAGAATGAATTAGCCACTAGGAGTTTTTGAAATGTGAGTCGGAAGTACCATACCTGTACATACATCATTCAAGGAATAGAAAATGGAGGTTTCCGATCTTCGAGCCTCGTGCAATCATGATTCATGAGTCATGCACGCCTTCTGACTGCGCCGGGTTTATGATAAGTAATATCGGTTGGATAGATCAAATGGAAGTACGAACCTGAACTGTAATCCCCCCATTAGCTGAGTAACTCAATTGAATCGACAGTCTGTTGGCACAAGATCTCCTATGCGGCATGCTGTAGTTTTTGAATGTAGCCTAGTAGAGTAGATTAGAGATTAGAGATCCCAGTGAATAAATGGCTATTGTTATTACCTCAAAGTTGTTGTGCATTTAATTTTGGCTCCAAGTGAGTCATAATGAGTCAAGTTAGCAATCATGCGGCCAATTTTCAGATGAAGTTAGTAAAGACAAGATGACGGTAGGAATCAAAATCAGAACTTCGGTAAAGCTCGAAAAACACACGGTTGACGGCGGCTGAGTAATACTTGGCACGATGTCTGACATTGGACATTGGACATTCAAGGGCATGCAATATGCAATGCGGGGAAGGTCATACATTAGTAGAGTAGAATACAAAACCGTGTCATGTAATGAGTACCTACTACCTAGTACCTAATAGATCCCTCAGCGACCTTCACATTTCAACTGACAGAAATAAGCAAATTTGTAAAAAAAACCATGTCCCTGAGGGATGGTCAGTGCCGGGGAGGACGAGAGAGGAGGCTAAGCGGCAGGAGACGAGAGAGGAGGCAAAGACTCATCGCGGGGAATGGTGGCAAAAAGATCAGGCAAGATCATGCCAAGGTATTGAATGTTCCATTATGGAAAGTGTCTCTGCATGTTTTGTGATGGTGGCCAAGAAGGTGAGCATGACTGGGAGATAAGGATTGAGATATGCACAATATAAGCGGTGGAAGAGGGGACACCATCTTTGAGGTTCTTGCCGGCAAAAATAAGACGCTGGTGACTGGTCAGGTGGGTCTGATAAGGCTAGAATAGAACTAGAGAAGGGTAAACTTAGTAAACAAAGAAGGCACAAGAAATAGTGGTGGCCAGGTCCAGTTCTGAACCGCGGTTCGAACCTGAACCTTTCCGAACCTGACCAGCGTCCGGTTCAAGGTTCAGGCAACAGGTGGAACCGGACCATTGGTCCAGTCCTTGGTTCGAGGACGATGCAGACTTACAGAACCGGTTCGAACCTGTTTGAACCGTTAGTAGTAAGTCTTTGAATTAGTAAGAATAGATCAAGTGATCCGCACTTACTTTGACAGATTGTTGATATCATGGACTCATCTGTGACTCCGATGCCTTGACGATGACACTTCAGATCCTCAATCAATGTTTCAAGGTTATTTATCAAACAAACTGACATTTTTTCAATCAATAATCATGGCGCCAGCTTAAAGCTGGAGTTCTATGGTGAGCTTGACCACAGTTTCCCGCCCACAATCATGACTGACCAGTGTGCTGTTGGTGCTGATGGCAATCTCAAAGATGCATCCGAAATCGTGTGGCACAACAACCCAGATGACGAGTGCCCTCTACCTGCCCCTGGTCACACCACCGAAAAATCTACTGCCCCAGTGCACCATTTCTTTACTGGTGCTCGATGTAGCGCTCGAGCACCAAGACCTTCAACAAAAATTGTCAACCCTGACAATGTTGCCTCATCGAGTTCAGCCTGGAGCAAGCGAAAGGCTGTGGACAGTGGTCCAGGGACCAGCCGGCGAGTTGCACGCAAGGTAATTCCAGCTTCCAGTGCCTCTAGTGACGATGCAGGCGATTTGGATGGTGAAGATGATGCAGAGTGCACAGAGGATGGTGCGGCAGAGGATGGTGCGGAGGCTTTGTATGCACAAACTAAGGCTATGGGGGATGCAGATCGTGAGGCAGGCAAGACTTGTCTCAAAAGCGAATGTACTGCAGACGTTCGCACCATCTTCGTCAAAAAGGATGACGGGTCTGAGTCTGGACATGTTTGCACCATCTGCGAGTGAGTTTTAACAATCATACTAATATTGCCTTTACTTACCTGACTTGGTTCTGTAGAAAGAATGGTGTCCCAGCTCACCATTGCTTCTTCAAAGGAGGTATGTCAACACTTTGTACCCATATCGCTAGGCGGGTGCCGTATCTTTGCTGACTAAGTACTATTGCTGATGGAGCAGTGTTGTAGGCATCCCGACCACTTTGCTGTTTATCAAGCATGCTGCAAGAATCTGCAAATCCCTATGCACACACGAGCATGTCCAAAGCCTGATGGGACTCTCCAAAGGTAAGTTTATTCTGTAATCTACTTACTACATACTCATTGTGTAATTCAGTCAAGGAAGTCTTGATGGCATTGTAGTTCATCAGCCTCGGGTGCCCGTTTTCACTACCAGCGGTCTTCTCGACTACATTGTCGAGCTGGTTGTATGTGAAGACAAGGTAATTCAATTGTTCATAGTTCAAATCACAATGCGCGACTAACTAAATCATACAGGCATTCCAACTGGTGGACAAGGGACCATTTTGGCGCTTGCTGACATACGTCTGACCAACCTTGTCTGACAAGGATATTCTGCACTGAAAGGCCCTTCACAAGGAAATCATCAAGAAAGCCAAAGCTACTGAAATGCGCATCAAGGAAATTCTCAAGGTATGTACTTGTATTATTTCACGAGCCCTGAATCCTGACGGTGTGGTGCAGGATATACCTGGCAAAGTCTCATTCACCTTTGATGCTTGGACTTCGGATCCTGGTGACCCTTTTCTTTCGGTAACTGGTCATTATATACATGCACCACCTGAACGTCCTAACGCCTGGAAACTCCAAACTGAACAACTTGCCTTTGCTCCAATGGAAGGACAGCATTCAGGAGCCAATATGGCCAACTTGCTCACACGAACTGTTGACCACTATGGTCTCCGCAAAAAGGTTGGTTGGTTCTCGTGTGATAACGCTGCCAGTAATGACACATGCCTCGTGGTGTTCGCCGACACTATCAACACCAACAAGAAGTCCGAGTCTGATGTGCAGAGGTGGGATCCAGTAGAAGGTCACATCAGGTATGATTTTGCCTCGTCATTTGGTGCATTCATCACTCACTCAATACCAAAGATGCATGGAACACACTATCAACCTTGCTGCGGGACATTTTCTCATGGCTGTCTCACCAACATCCAGCCGCACACTTCTAAAGAAAATAAAGGCGGCAGTTAAACACTCAGATATCAATTTTGATGCTTTAGATGTCGGGATTGATTATGAGGGAGCGGATGAATGTGAAGAGGATGATGACGAGGATGATGAATTCGGAGTCAGTGACTCAATTGGTAAGGCTCTTGCGCTTGTGAAACAGGTTCGTTGACTTCCATCTGACAATACATTCTACTAACTATTGTTTATAGATCCGTGCATCACCTCAGGCCCGCGCATTCTTTGCACAGTCGTGTAAACAAGCAGATGTCCCTGTTCTGGAGCTTACACAATGGATATGGACTTGGTGGGCGTCCATGCACAGTTTTATCACCCACATGTTGTTACTTCAAAAGGTACGTCTCTCATATGTTGCACGTCCATGAGCTCATTGTTCTTTATAGGGTGTCAATCTTTTTGTCGAGCTCGCGGACGACAGCGAGGAAGTCCCTGGCCTCAAAGGCAAATGTTATGCGGACTTTCATCTTGACAAAAAGGACTGGGAGAAATTGAAATTGGTGCACGAAGTTCTTCAGGTATGTGTATCTAGTTCTACCAGCTGTACTTATTACTAATACTTGCACAGGAACCAGCGAGCGCCACGCAAACATTTTCCAGTTCGTCCAATCCTTCCGTCTGGCGGACAATTCCAGTCCTCGAGTTTTTGCAGAAGTCCTGGGAAAATATGGCAGCCCTTCCTCGATTCTCACAAGTCCGTGATGCTATTCTCAAGGGATTGAACAATGTTGCAAAGTGGTATGACAAAACAAAAGCTACTAACACATACTTTATTTCTCTAGCACTCAATCCTAATGTCAAGGTTGCCTATTCCGAGCATCAATGGGATACGGAATCCTTCGAAGTCGGTCTCAAAGATCTCAAACAAGTGGTATGTTTAATATTTGTTGACCATTGAAGCCAATATTTGCTGACATGTTTCGATAGTTTGACAAGTACTATACTATTTCCCCCATCTCAGCTCCTGTGGATGCAGATGTCGAACAAGCACCACCTGGGCAAGCGCAATATGGCTGTTCCTGGGTCCTTGCTGCTATACAAGCACATCAAGCATCTGATTGCACCCAGCTTAGGCCTCGTGCTGAACTTACTGCATACCTCCAGAGTCCGCTTGAGCAGACAGAGGATGTTATGGGTTGGTGGGGTGTAAGTCTTTTTTCTCATCATTGCGAGTTCATTTACATTAACTTCATACAGCACCATCAGTCGCAATTTCCGACACTTTCAAGCATGGCCCGAGATTATTTAGCCATCCAGGGTAGTAGCACAGCATCAGAGCGTGCCTTTTCAAGCGGTGGACTAACAGGAACAAAACAACGGAACCGTCTCAACAAGGATGTATTCAAGAACTTGCAACTGTTGAAGAGTGCATACTGCAATGGCCACATCTCTGCCGCTAGTGATGCCGAGCAACATCTGGATTCGTTGATTGCTGCACTCCATGACAACACAGATGACGAGGATGGTGAACTGGTCTAGTACTAGTAGTAGCATTTAGTATTGGTACTTCTGTTGTCAGGCATGTTTTGTTTATATGATTTTTCTTGACAAAATTTTTATTATTTTGGATGGTTCGGTTCTCAGTTCGAACCCTTGCCAAACCAAACCAGACCATTATTGGACCGAACCGATGGTCCAGTCCATGGTTCTGCTCACTGGGAGAACTGAACCTATGGTCAGGTTTGCAGTTCTCAGAATTTGCCTGAGAACCGGACTGAACTGGACCTGTCCATCACTAACAAGAAAGGAACGAGGAAACACTCACCTTGTGTGCATGGCCATGTTACCTGATGGGCCCTAATACAAGGAGTGGGATTTATGGACCTCATGTTCATATCAACATGCCACGTGACATGTTCGAACATTTTTTTCCATGAATCAAAGTAAGAGGTGGAGCGCACACGTGAGGTGGACGTGAATGGGTTCTGCACGATCAAATGTTCCGGCCTGTTACTAGAATACATGTTCCCTGTACACAAACTCATCTACATAAAATATTTGCTCGTGTCTCAGGTACCAAAAAGAGTGAAAGATTGAATGATATAGTACGTAACTAGGTCTTTTTATGCTGTGGTATCTTGGAAGCAGTTACAGGCATGGGGCAACCGTTATGTGGGCGTAAACTTGAAGGCTCGAGTTAATGAGCGTGTAAAGAATGAACACAAACTACTCACACACGACAAGTTGATCTGCGAAGAGGTGTTGTCTTCGGTTGACACAGAGGCACCTCCTTGGCCACTGAGTGCTCTTTCGGGGATGGAGGAGGATGTGTAATGAAATGATCAGACTGACTGAGATCCAGCGAGCATGTAGCTGGTGCGGGTGTCATGGCACGAACATCACAGAGCAATGATCTAAGATAATTGTAGTCGGGATCCTCGGAGAATGCGAGATTGCACGAATAAATCAGCATAGTGGTGATCTCAGGAGGAATTCCAAGACATAAATCTTCAATGGTGGTGTCCACCTTGCGTGCCAGTATAGAAGAAGTGGGAAGCTTCTCATGGTCACTAGTAAACCATGGAAGGGAGCCGTGCAAGAAGTAAATCAACATGTATATAAGTGATTCGAGATCGTCACGACGACCAGGCACAACTCCTAGGTGGTTATTGATCGAAGCAAACACGGGAGTGCCAGTAAGATGTCCACCATGGCGAAATGGCATATGGGCTTGGGCGGTAGTGTTCCAGTACTCTTTCGCGACACCAAAATTGACAATAAAAATGGTTTGCTCTAAGTCTCCACGACCGACAAGGACATTTTGCGGTTTTATATCGCCATGAACGTAGTTGTGTGAGTGAATGTGCTCTAGAGATGAGAGCTGGGAAATATATTAGCATCTGCCAGTGCCAGGACACCATAAACAAAACTTACTAATTGGTCTCCAAAATTCAGGATGGTATGAAGGCTGAATTTTCGATTGTGCATGATAAAAAGGTCATGCAGTGATGGCCCGAGGAGATCGAGAACTAAAGCATGAAATGTCGCCTCTCTACCGAACCACACAGTGCACGGAATCCCAGCTCCTCCTTCAAGATGTTTCAAAATACAATATTCGTGCTCTAAAGAGGACACATTGTTGATGAGAGGCTCAAGTTTGATGGCAAGGTCATCATCATTTATAATGTTCTGTGCACGATACACAATGCCTAGTACATGTTAAATTCAATTTCAACATATAAATTGTACATGTAAACAACATATTACATACCATACAAGCCAGATCCTAAGATGTCTCCCAACCTAAACCTGCCATCGACCCGAATTGGGACCTTGTTCATTGTACAGTAAGATATTTGAAGAGTTATTAGACAGAAATGAGTTTCAAACAACAGAAGAGGTTGCGGCATTGCGCGCACAAGTTGGTTGGAGCCTGGTTCAACTGGCTCAAGCTGCCTTTCACACATAATGGGCTTGAAGTTGGTTCATGCAGCTAACTGAGGTGAACCGAGCCGAAGAATCAAGTGAGCCTACCTACTGCTAACCAAACTGCCGCATAACCAATAAAAGCCAAAGCCGAACCAGCCATAGCCGAGGTGCCCCATTACTATATAGATGGCGCAGGGATTACTTTGGAGTATGAATCTACTTGGACAAACTTTCTCAAGGTGCGCAATGGCAGTGGATTGTACTAGTAGTACTTGACTAATATATTGTTTTAAAGAGTCATGAGAATGCAAGCCCATTCAAAAACACAGGATTCCCTCATTTCAATGCCATCCACCAGATGTTGCCAAGGAAGAGCAAGGGCACTTGGGTCCACCACAATGACCCCCGCCAGCCTGCTAGCACTGCATCTTCTGCTGTCCCTGCTGCAGCTCTTCCTGAGGCTAGTACTGTGCCACTGACACCGCAACCACTTACCGCATTAAACCTCAGCAAGCTGACTGCGGCTGCCAATGAAATAACTTCTATTCCATCTCACATCCAGTCTGCTAGCGGCTTGCTACAAGACATTCCACCATCATCATCTGCTGTCCCATCCACATTTCTTGCGGCTCAGACTACTACCACTAGCTCAGGAGCTATGTCCTCAGTGCTCACAAGTGTCAGCTGCCAAGATAAGCGCAAAGTTAGTGTGATAGGCTCAGCCGCTGCTATGAGTGCATCAAAGTGGTCTCGACCTGTTTCAGCAAGTGTACAGGCCTAGCAAGATAGTAGCAAGGCAATGAACAACCTCACAATCACCATGGAGGAGATATGGCAAACATTTGCCAGAACATCTGCAAGAGCTTCTGCAGAAGACTTTGGCCATGCCATCTCCATGGTCTCCCAGTGTGCAACACTATCTAGTGATGAAAGAATTGATGTTATAGACTTCCTTGGACAAGACGACAAGCACATCATGAAGTTTCTTAATATGGATGAGAGCCTTCAGTTGATGTGGGTGCAGAGGCGGCTTGCTGATCTTCACGCTGCAACTCAGTCATAAAGTCATAATCATTGTAGCAAGTAGTGATCACATGCATGTAATATCTTTCAATCAATGTCGTATGCCTACAATTTGAGTGCCGGTCTGCATCAACGCTGTGCACATTCTACTACATAGTTGTCCCACATTGCATGTGCAATTGCGTCACAACACACATCTGCTCATTGTTGTTCTGCGGCATCTGCAGGTCCATCTGCTAACTCACCATGTGCTACATCTTCAAGTTCTTTATTATATATGCTAGGATCACATCTGCAAATGGAATTGTGGAGAGCGCATAGCACTGCTGGGATTCATGCCTGAACATCCATACTATATTCAACCAGCTGTTGGAGACTTTGCCACTGACACTTAAGCATACCAAAAATGTGTTCAATTATATTGCAGAGCCTTGCATGTTGAAGATTAAATAGTTCTTTTGCATTCTGAGGGCTGAGATCATCATCAGGGACTGCTGGAGCTTGTGAATATAGTACTTGACATACCGGAGGTTGGCTTGCTGCTACTCTTTAAGATGATACCAGACACCACGGTATAGAATGAGTAGTGCATCAGATGCTCCAAAGCCAGCATCAGCCAGAAAGTATCTTCCAGGCAGGATTGGTAGATTGTGCATGTGTGCATCATTCCAGAGTGCCACATCAGCAACAGAACCATCCCACCCACAGAGTGTATAAATGACTAAAAATTTGAAGTCACACATGAAAAGGCAGTTTTGAGATATGAACCCCTTGCAGTTTCACATGAACTGTTGATCCTCAATGCTTGTGAATGCCTGGATGTGGGAGCCATTGATGGCACCAAGACATTGGTCAAAATATCGCAAATGGATGTCATTTAATACTGTCAAGGAAGTGGGGGTATTGGCTGTGGGGAACCGAACTTCTGAGGAATACAACAGGGGGCTAGATAAGAAAAACAGAATACATTTGAAGTATCTACAAGTTTGAGAGTGCAGCAGTCAACATTCTGTGAACAATTGAGATGCCAGCATGACACACTGTGAAATCATATCAGACGAGCGCTGGAATCTCTCTCCAATGAGGCGAGTCGAGAGTCCAGTTACACAGGTATATAGAAATATTGCTAATTGTTCCTCCACCAAAACTCCATTGCGAGATGGTGCAAATCCATTTGCATGGAGAACTTGCAATAAACTGTCGAAGACGTCTAGACTGACACTGAGATTGTGTCGGATGCGATCTGGGTGGCCTGTGATGAGTTTTAACACCCATGCCTTGCCCGACAAGGCTGATGTGTGGTAGGGTACATGTTCATGAGGAGATAGGATGTGCATTGTCAGGCTGGTTTAACATTGTCGTGGTGGTCATTGTAAAGTCGTTATCGATCATTGATTATCAGTTAAAGCACATATATGTTTGTCGCATTTAATAGTAGATCGAGCCAGATCCTGAGGTTCAAACATAAGGTCACATGATTGAATGCAAATGCAAATTTCAATTGAATATTTGTTGGCCAAATAGGACCTTACCTCATCCCTGGCATAGTAGACAGAGTGAAGATCAATATATATGCGGACAACACAACCATATACCTCTCGAAAGAGGACAGATCTTCCAATCTCGAGGTGATACTGAAAGACTGGTGCTCAGTGTCAGGAGCAAAATTCAACATGGAAAAAACTGAAATCTTACCCATCGGTAGGCAATATCATGGGTATCTGGCACCCACCGTGGGTCATGGGTGTGGGTACCCAGGGGTATGGGTGGGGGTAGGTACTTAGGATACCCACACCCCTACCCACACCCACACAGTGGGTATGTAGGCAAAAAAATTATCTTTGCACTGTGATATGTGATTCAACTTTGTCAAATATGCTAGTAGTGGTCTCAGTGAATGGTATGCCTAGGTTGAATAGCCAACAACTTTGTTGGAAAAAGTTATTTTTGCTTGGCATACCTTATAAGGCATTGCAAGCCCTCAATTGATCAAGCTCATTTGAAGTGCTTGGAAGCGGACCTGAAAATCTTGCAAGTGAGGCTTAATTGACACTTGCAGGCTAATTGCAACCTCATTTAGGGACAGATTAAGACATATTTTTGCAAAAGTTACATTTACAGCCCCTTGTAAGCTGCTTGCGACACAATTGCAAGTCCCTTCCGATTGACTTGGAAAAATTTCGGGTGACCTTGCAACCCCTCAATTAGCCTCAAGAGGGGTCCCTTGCAAGGCACCTTTGGAAATTTCTGACATTCATTTTCAATAATACTATCTTTGTCATCTATGTTGATTCAATTTATCATGTTACATATAGACTATAGAAACACAACTTTGAACTTTGGTTCAGTAGTGTTCAATCCATATGTTACTGATATGTCAACTAATTATAAGATAAACTAGCCATAGACTCACCTTAAATAGCACTACAATTTTCATCAAGATACATAATGATAATAACAACTTGTGTTTGGCTAAACTCATCAATATGTATTTTTATTTTGCTCAAATTACTACTGATTAACAAAATAAGACTCACAACAGACTTGTCTCAACTAGTATTACAAGGATAATGTCAACTTTTATTTTTGCATTTTTCAGAGACTTACTGGTGTTGGGTTTTCATTTAGCTTTATCTCTCTCAAATGACTGCCAATTAACAAGGTAAGACTAGCAGTATATTTGTCTCCAGTATTACTACAACATTATGAAGATATCTAATTGTGTAGTACCAATCGTTCATGTCATACCCATGGGTATACTCTTTATGGGTGTGGATATGGGTAGCCATCCCTGGTACCCATGAATAAACCCACACCCACCAGTGTGGGTGTGGGTGGGGATATTACCACAGATACCCATGGGTATACCCACATCATTCCCTACCCATTGGCACCAAAACCCACCGGGAACGCTGAAGGTACAACAATTCAGATGGTGAGTCTGAACAATGTTGGGTCTTGCAGAACCTAGCTGCTATTTGACCCTAAAGGGTTTCTGGACCAGGTTTAAGGCTCAGAGGAGAGGAAATATCATAAAAACTTGCTGAGCACTCAGACTCATACTGATACTGGCGAAAAGATAACTTGATTATGTAAGCTACAAAAGTGCCAACATAAGGTAAGGTAAAAACAGTCTCTATCAGCCCAGCCAGAAATGAATCCCTATAATGCATAATAGAGCAACAACAAAATAAACATCCTGGATGAACCATGGCATGCATTAGTCAGAGTAGTGAAAGATGGTAATCCAATATGCACCCTGGGTGCCTGGATCAGCAACGATGTTGAACAAGCGACCTCATGGGAACCACTACTCCAAAGAATAGAGCAGAACCTCGTGAGATGGGAACGGTGTCACCCATCACTCAATGGGAAACACCTCATAATACAAATGATAATAGGTGGAATGACCCAATTTCTAACAAAGGCACAAGGAATGCCAAGATCAATAGAAACAGCAATAACAAAAAAGATATGAACCTTCATATGAGATGACCGAAGAACCCCACCAATAAGCTTACCCCATCTAGAGAGGCCAGTAAATGAAGGAGGCCTGGGACTATTAAACATTGCTGCGAGGAACAAAGCCATTGAGATCACCTGGGTCAAGGCCTTCATGGACATGACCCAATCCCACCCGACATGGGCATTCATCACGAACACTATAATAAACACCTTAAAACCGAGTAGAATCAGAAACCAGGAAGATATAACAACATTCCTCACCTCATGGGACCCACCAATGCAAGGCAAAAGAATCAACCAACTGCCGAAAACAATAACAAACCTATTAAAGACAACGCACAAGTACAATGTAAGCTTCACGCCTATAAAACTATCAGTAAACCTAAAAAGTCAAATGTCAGCATGGTTCCACCTTGGAGCCCCCCTAAAAACATACCATAAAACAAAGGATAGATGCCTGCAAATAAATCATCACATCAAATCAATTAAGGACCTTAAAGAAACAATGAATAAACTGACAAACATGGGCATCCATCAAGCAGTGGCTTCATGTGCATGCACCGAATGCATTGAGAACCAGCCTGGCAGGATGCAAGAACCCAGATAAATGTGCCCAAACAGCGAAACAAATCCTAGACAACCTAAACCCACTATTCAATCCCAACACATCCCCAATGAAAGATAACTTGACACTGACTCACCGGAGGCTAGAAAAGAATGCTAGAATGAGGACAAGGCATGATGGAGAGATACTCTTTGACCCGTCCATCACCACAAAGAACCACATATCTGAATGTTTCTGAATCTTTGTTGAACCTGACAGACTGATCCAAATACCAGTGTACCGACTATGCATACCAATAACTGGCCGAGGTGCAAGAACCGAACCTGTAACTATATACACAGATGGATCATGCAAAAACAATGGGAAATTTAATGCTACCTGTGGAAGTGGAATCTGGATAGCAGAAGGTAGCCCTATGAATAAAGCGGTCAGAGTACCTGGTGATAAGCAATTGAACCAAATAGGAGAACTAGCAGCAATACTAGTTGCCCTGCAGTCAATCAACCCACTAACTCCAATAAAAATTATAACCGATGAAGGTACAACAATTCTGATGGTGAATCTGAACAATGTTGGGTCTTGCAGAACCTAGCTGCTATTTGACCCTAAAGGGTTTCTGGACCAGGCTCAAGGCTCAGAGGAGAGGAAATATCATAAAAACTTGCTGAGCACTCAGACTTATACTGGTAACTGGTGAAAAGATAACTTGATTATGTAAGCTGCAAAAGTGCCAACATAAGGTAAGGTAAAAACAGTCTCTACCAGCCCAGCCAGAAATGAATCCCTACACCAACTCAAAGTACGCTATCAAAGGAATAACCACCCATCTCAAGGACTGGGAAGATACCAGATGGATAGGAATCGACAATGCCAATATGTTCAAGGCCATAGCATACCAACTGCGATGATGCCCCACTGAGATGACCTTTCAATGGATTAAAGGTCATCAGGGCCACATCGTAAACAAAAAAGCAGACCAACTCACACTCACTAGCACCCTCCGCCAAGAC